CCCCCCCCAGCCCTTGGACCCTGCGCCAGGCCCTCAGAAACCTCCGTTCAGGCTCCCTGTCCCTTCAGAGACCGCTGCGCACAACCAGACCCCAACCACTGCCCTGCCAAGTGCTCAGGTGCCCCCACCCCGCAGTCCCTCAGCTCTCCTCCATCTCACACTGTTCTCATCCACACCCCAGGGACGGCTCAGACCCTGCCGCTTCACCCAGGGTGCACATGCTGCTCCTCTCCACGTGCCCCAGGAGTGCCTCCTTTCCACTCCACACGCCGACAGGTCCCCTTCGTTCCCCCACGTGCCATCAGATCCCCTTTGTTGTTTGTGTGTGTACTCACGTCCCCCCGTTACCCTCCACACACACTCAGATCCCCTCTGTGCACTCCTCCATCACCCTCTGCGCACTCTCTCATACCACTCACCACTTCACGCAGTTTATTCCTCTGTTCCCCTCTTGCAGAGCCCTCCACCCCCCTCCAACCTCCATTCCACCCCATCCTGCTCTGTTTGGCCATTCCCATACGTGCGTGCCGATCCCCTCCCGCTCCCTCCATGCGAGCTCAGATCCCTCCCTGCTCCCCTCTCAACGCACCACTCCTCTCCGTTGCCCACGGGGTGCCTTTTCAATCCCTCCATGCACCTGCGGGGTGCTCAGACCTGATCTCTCCCTCCATCCCTTCCTGCACGCTCTGGCCCCTCTGTTACCCACCCTACAGTTCTCCTCCACGGCTGCCCTGATCCGCTCCATGCGGATCCTGCTCCCCTCGTCCCCTCCCTGTACAAGTTCCCTCCGTGCTTTCCATCACAGCCAGGCATCCCCCTCAAAACCACACCGCAAGGTACAGATTAACTCCCAACTTAGATACAGAGAAGCATTTCAGATGGTCTTGGGGAAAAAATATTTGTAACAAAAAAACAATTAAGCCTCCCTAGACTCAGCATCACCCATGTCCTGCCCAGGCACCAGTTGTTTCTTTCGTTATCCCAGGACCACTGCGGCCCTGCAGCGACTTTCTCCATCACGCTCTCCACAACCCCAGCACTGCTCATGGTGACTAGGCCAGAATCCCGTACTGGCATCTGAGTCCATCACAGGCATCAAGATGAGCGGGCTACTGGGACCCACTTCCCAAGCTCTGCCTGCACTGGGTGCCACCTTGTTAAAAAGGACACCTGAGACAAAGAGGAACATGAGAAGAGGAGAGAAGAAATGGAGAAACATGGCTGGGGAAGGACGAAGTGAAAGCTGGGGAAGGGGTGAGTGGAGAACGAAGTGGGGATGCTCTGACTGACCCAGCCTGCTGCAGGACACTGTCGGCCTGCGCTCAGCCACATGGCAACGAGGATGTGCTTGATGCTGGGCGTCCAGCCGGAGCTCTGTGTGCTTCTGCAAGAAGGGATGGAAACTATGTGCCTCGTGTCTCTTCTCCCCTTGTTTCCCGCGGAGAGACCCCGCCGTGCTGCTCGCCATCGTCACCTATGCAGGGCACAGAGCAGCAGCATCTCAGCAAGAGCCAACAAACCAGACAACAGGAATTCCTCCCTGCCTGGCAGCTGCTCCTGGGAGTCCCACAGCTTAGCAGGAGAGCAGGCAGCTCCTGCCCCAAAACTCGGCTGGCAGGCAGGCACCAGGGCTCACCTTCTGTAAGGCAGTTGAGGTAAGCATCCTGGATGCTGTTCCCATTGACGAGTGCCATTGCCTCGTGCTTGGTGGAGCTGCTCATGGCCTCCTCTTCCCCCTTCCCCTCATCATCATCTTCTGAGTCCACCAGTACTAAGACATCACCTGAGTCTTGATTCCTGTGAACAGCAGAGCAAGTGGAGGTGAGCTGCAAGGCTGAGGACAGCCTGTGCTGACCCCTCCCTCCAGCCTGTGGCTCCCCTGGCTTTGACAACCCTCTACACCAGAACGACCAATTTTGATAGACTCTTCCAATCCTGCACTAACCGTGTTCAAAGAACAGCTGGTTTCAGACCCTGCTGGCAGCACCACCACCACCAACGGCATTCTGCACTGCTTCCCATTCGTCTTCCAAAGTCCTCCAACCACTTCACGAATATTCATGTACTAAACTGCACGAGCCCCTCTGGAGTGGAGTTACTCTCCCCTCCTGTACAGATGGGGAAACGAAGGCACTCAGAAAAGAGTCTTCCCATGCCGCAGCGCCACAGCTGTGGGAAGAGAACCAACAGGGGGAAGGGAAGGGAGTGGGGCCAGGATGGGTGCAAGCAGGAAGCAGAGAAGAAATGTGGTGCACCTGAACCCCAAGGTGGCACTTGCTCGTGTGCAGGTATCAGACATCCCTCCTGAGACGGGAAGGACATGGGCAAACGCCCACACACAGTGGCAGAAGATCAGCATTTCTATTTACTCTCTAAGTCCTTGGGCTCACCGGCGCCAAGGAGCAGCTCTCCTGCACAGCCTCCTCCTGCACTAACGGGTGCCTTGCCAGCACCATCCCTGCACATCCCAAAGTGATGCCACTCCTGCTCTGATGCCAAGTGCTCTCCTCTCCCCTCATCCTCCCGCTCCCACAGGCACACCAAGTCTCACTCATCCCCACCGCCCCCTTCCCACGGGACGCACAGCTCCCACATAAGAAGGACTTTGCTCTGGGGGCAGCTCCTGCCTCCGAGGTGGGTTCCCTGCCCTACAGGGAGACCACCTCAGCCAGGAGGCGGACTAGTGAGGCCTCGTGGGACTGGGCTGAGGAAAATCAACACTCACCTGAATGCAGCACCTGAATGGGAGAGAAAGGAAGGGAAAAGACAGCATTAGAAACCGGCCCCAGAGCAGTCCCTTGGGCAGCGTGCTGCTGGTTTTACTGTACAACCCCTGCCAATTCTGCCTGCAGTAGGATGGTCTCCGGCAGCCACATGGAGAGGCACGGACATGAAGGTGACCTGCCCACGTATGCAATGAGAGCACCAGAACGGTCACAAGGGAAGGGGAGAAGGCCCATCACAGCACAGCTCCCTGGAGAAGGCAAGGGGAAGGAGTCTGAAGTGCTCAGCTGGGGAAGGGCCTTGTGTTTCCAACCCATCTGCCTCCAGGGCTGACAGAGTTTTGACCGGGAGCAGGATGAGGCCCAAGGGCTGCAGTGATTGTGAAGGGACAAGCAGGTTAGGGGTAACACCAGGCCACCCCAGGAAGGAATAACCTCCTCCCTGGCTTGTGCAGAGAAGAGCTCCTACCTCTCAGGCACAGGAGGGGATTGTAGTACAAGACAACCCCGGTGACGGTGAGAATAGCCAGCAGGGACAGGACCACCACTGCACCCACGACCCCAACGATGTTCACCGGCTCTGTGGAGAGAAGAGGAGGCCAGCTTGTCACTGGGACATGGATGGATGAGGAAATCTCAGTGCAAGCAATACGACAGGTCCCAGTGCTGTCTCAGTTGCTATTTCCCATCATTGCAACAGTCAAGGGGTGAGAGTTTCAGGCACTCGTACTTCATCGATATGGAAAACACCACAGCAAGGCCCCTATTTTTGTGCCCACGTGTATTTAGCGAAAGCAAATAAACCCCTGCCCATTGCATCTTGAGCAGCTTGAGCCTTGGAGGTGCTCCTCTGTGCCCAGAACCTACAGGAGGGACCAAGGATGCTCCTCTCTCAGGCCCATTACGCCGAGGTGAGGGGAACCAGGCCTTTTCACCCTGGGATGAAGGGAGCCAGTCCTGCATCCACGCTTGCCACAAGAGTATGGAAAGCGTCAACAGGCAAAGAGGGCTCTTTATGGTAAATGGAGTCCCTTGGGGGCTCGCCAATAGCCCCCATGAGCTGTGTCCCCAGCTCCTCCTCAATCCCTGCCACAGCAACCCCAGGCAGCCCCACTCACGCTTCACTGTCAGGCAGATGAACAACTCCCTCAGCCCCACGGGGTTCTGAGCCTTGCAGACATAACAGCCCCCGTCGGTGCCCTGGGAGCAGTTCTGGATGGTGAGCCGGGACACATTGCCCTCCTGGGCGATGAGGTACCTCCCTCCGGGTTGGATCTCCACCTCTGGCTGGGTGATGCCCCGCAGCCAGGTGAGCCTCGCTGCCGGGGTGCTCTCAGTCACACGGCATGTGAGGGTCACATTGTCACCCACAAAGCAGGTCTTTGGGGGTTCTGATTCCAGTGAAGGGATTTCTGAACAGCCCAAGGGGAAAAAAAAAAGAAAAAGGGTCAAGGAGGGAATGGAGGAGTTTAACATAACAAGCAATCAGACTGGTTAATAATCATTAACAGAAGGAAGTGAGACAGGAGTCTGGGAATTGAGCACTGTGGGTTTGGCATTCGGCTCACTCACAAGACTTCAGCAGCCTTCCAAGGAGCGATCCAGGCAACTTTCACGTTGCTCAGTCCTTTTTTTGACACCTGTCTTTATATCCCTGGGGAAGAACAGTCGGAGGGTAGCCAGTAGGAAGATGCTAGAGAGGAGAAAGGCAGCCCAGAAATTTTCCTTGGGATCAGCAGAGCTCTTTATTTTTCTGTCAGGGAGCTCTGCTCCCTGACAACCCCTGGAGGATAAATACAGCTCAGGTTTTCAAAAGCCACTGTAGTCAGATCCCTTGGATGCTTGAAGGGGGCCTGGAGGCATGCATGACGCTTCTGCTATAAACCCAGACCTGCCAAATTTAATCTCAAGATGAGCAAGGCACTAAAACCACACAGGCACGAGTGCTTGCACAGGTGAAAAGCTTGGTGAAGGCAGATTTATTGGCCCCTGAAGATGTGCCCAAAACACAACTCACCTGCAACTATGCCGTGATGGATCTCAGCTGCAGGACTTCTGTGCCTTGTGCAGTCACCTCTGCACAGGTCAAGCCCTGCCACACTGCCTCATTAGCATCTCCCCCTGCGGCAAGTGCCCGCAAGCCTGGCTTGCCTGACCACTGCCTTAGTGCTCTGGAGGGCAGAGAATGACCGGGGTACCTGTCTGCCCCACCATTAGCAGGCTTATTAATAGTTAATAACGTAGGCATGTCAACTCACTTATCTCCACAGTGCACGCAGGCTCCTCCTGCTTGACAACATGGCTCCCGACACACTTGAACACTTTGCGGTGGGAGAGGTGGGAGCTGTTCAGCGTTTCCACGTGGGTGTCCGAGGAACTTGTGGAGCTGATAACCCAGCTTGAGTTCTCCAGATCATGCCCCTCTTCTCTCCAGTGCAGGGTGGGGTGGGGATACCCCCCAGGCCAGCTGCAAAACAGCTGCAGCATCAGCCCCGATGAGGAAGTCTCAGCCCAGCACTTTGGGGTTGAGTGTGGTGGATCTATCAGCAAGAACGGCACATGGTTAGAAACATTTCCAAGTCACAGCTCTCGGCATCTCAGGGCTGGAACACCCGCAAGTGCTTGTTTTTGCCATCCCTTCCTTTGAAAGTCTTTCAGGTTTCCCTGCCTATCTTGCTCCCTGACCTGCGTCCCACAGCCCCAGGGGAGCACAACTCTGAATGACAGCCAAGAGGGGACCAAGCAGGAGGCTGTCCTGCAAAAGCCACCACAGCAACCACAGCCAAGCCTTGAGGGACTAATGCACAGGGAGGAAACAAAGTATTGCCACAGCTTTATCCAATGGAGGCAAGATAAGCACCTAAAAACACAGCAGGAGAAGACAATCTCCACACTGCCCTTGGTCCTCATGCTACAGCCACAAGGGGGTGGCACCAATTCACACTACTTGAGAACAAGGCTCTGCCTCTCCCCGTCACTGATACAAGCACTCAGACTTCCCAAGGGAACATGGAAAGCATCAGGGCTCTTGCCCAGGGACAAGTAACCGGCTTCCCAGAGCCATCAGCTCAAAGCTGGAGTGTTTCCCCAGCAAGCTCAGCACATTGCTGAAGGAGAAGGCTGTTCCTAGCGTACAAGACACTCTGCTCACTGGGAGTCCTGGTGACTCCAGCCCCTGAGGTCAGGGCCACGGACACGTGCCACTGAAGCCAAACCAGGTGTCCTCCACTCCTTCCCAGCTCCACTGTCACTGCCATGTGGGGACAGACGGTATTACTCAGCCACGCACCACGCTCTGTGTCCACACCACACTGCAGCAGTGGGGACAAACTCCAGCAAAGAACATAGGCAGGGTAAGTCACTGCTGGCCTCGTGCCAGGGCCACTTCGTAACCACCACGACTATGTTTGTTATTTAAATACAGAAACAACTACATGATAGCAGGAGCGGGTCAGAAGTCAACAGAAACCCAAGAGCAATCCCCTCAGGCAGAGCGGGGCTCACATTTCATGCAGTATGAGTTCCTGCCTCTCTCCCATCAGCTAGTTTCACACATCCACCCCGCCATGCACAGATACACACATGTGTTCGTTTAACAGCCATAGGGATTCTGGACTCTGATCCAGGCAGAAGTAACACACTGTGCCCCTGTGGTTGGCTTGCCTAATCCAATGCTGAACAAGACCCCACCGAGAGATCAGACGCTGCCAAAGCAAGCCCCACATGAGAGGTGTCAGAGGGATGCCTGATGTTTATATTGTGGAGCATTTATTCAAGTGAGTTTCAAATGACATGAATTTAAAAAAAAACAAACCAAACCATCATGGCAAAATCCCCTGTGAGCTACAAGAACATACCTTCTTGGGGCTTGGCTTTCCAGGAACTATATGCATGCATCTCATATGATCTTTGAAACCATCTGGCTCTGGCAAGAAAGTTCTCTACAACGCTTCCTCTGTCCCAGCTCTGGGGAGGTCTCATAACTGATCCCAAATCCTGGCTGTGGTTAATAAGAACAACCTGCCAGCCTGAATCACCAGAACCTGCCCCGCATCGAGAGGCGGACACAGCCTTTCCAAACGTCTGGCCAGAGAGTGGCACTTTTTGCGCTGGTTCCAGGAATCTGCCTCCTGAAGCCATCAGCTTTCCATCCCGAACTCCCAGGCTCTCCCAGTACAACTCTGCTCTTCTGTCTAAATGCTGACGGGAGATCTGTTCCCAAAATGTTAAAAACCCAAAAAACTAAAAACCTCCCACCCCCTGCAACCAAAAAAACTTCACAAAACACCAGCAAAAAGGACCTCATGCCCACAGAAAAGCCAACAGCAGCTTATATCAAATTGCATACGAACATACCAAGGAATCTCTTGGAGGTGTGCAATTGCACATTCTCTTCACACCATGTGCTTCCTATCCAAAACAAACACAAAACAGCAGCTCTCACAGGGCTGCACCTGTGTCATGTTGCTAGAATGTTTCCTCTACTGCTTGTGGTTTTTAAAATGCAGTTTTAAGCAGAAAGAGAACTTGTCGGTGCAACCCATGAGATGGATTGAAGACTGTCAACTGGTAACTCCTACATGAAGCCTACAGACCCTGGGTGGCTCTTTTACAGCGGTGCCAAGTCTGTGCCTGAGAGGTTCGCTCCAGCCCAGGCTAAGTTGCTCCAGTGACTGCGAAAAATCAGGGCCTGTGCTTCTAGTCTGAGGTTGAGCAGCTTCAAGTTCTGGCCTTCGCTGATGCTTCTGCTCTGCTCTGCTCCACCAGAAATACCTCTCACCTATTTAAGGGCACACCGCTGTCCCATTATCACCTTTGTAACCTTTGGAAATTAATTGACACATTAATTCCATGCTAATAAATTAAGTTCAGAGTGCAGTACCAACACTTGGCATGCCATAGATATCTTTTGCTCATGACTGTTTTGAACCAACGCTTCAGATTTAGGGCTCCACCTTCCTAAGCCCCATGCCTATATATATATTCTCTGAAGCAGCCTGGGGTTCAATTCCTTCACTCCAGCCCTTTGTGACCCTCCAAACCCCATCTACAGGTTCATTGCCCCCGGAAGGGAATTTTTACTCATGTGAACTTACAGAGATTTAATCTGTACAAAACAGGTACAACTTTTACAACACGCGCCCTTCACCAAACACCGAGAAGGAAGGAACACCCTGAATGCAAACAGAAAATAGGTCTCACGCGGCAGGTGTTGACGGAAAGACCAGCAAGGAAGGAAGAGGCCAACAGAGCACAGAGTGTCACTGAAAAAGGCAAACTGGCAGCAGTCTTTCCTTCTTCTCAACCCTTTAATACGGGCTTGGCCGAAATAAAGAACAGCAGGTCACAGCCCAGGTCTGAGGGGCCAGAGCCTACGTCGCATCTGGTTAGACTTGGTGAAGGGGCCAAGAGTGGTACCAGCCATAGGACCTGTGCTCCCTGCTAATCTGGAGGGGGCTGCTCCCACAGAAGAGATGGGACATCTGGGCAAGATAATGATTCCCTGGCAGAAGCAGGAAGGACCTGCACCAGCAGTGTGCAATGTCATTGACTCGAATGCTCTCCAGACTGATCTTCCACCTGTGCTGTCAAGATTTCTAAGAGAATGAATGAATGAAATAGGCTGGAGATGGGAATAAGCACCAAAAGACACAACAGGAAAAAAGGCTGAAAGAATGGCCTGTGTTGATAACAACAGGCATGCTCCCAGGACAGCGCTCGCAGCAGTGAATTTGAGGATTGCTGATCAAAATCAGAAGGCTGCACTCCAAGACTCAGCACAGACAACTCGTTAGCTGAGGACCCTCCACCCTCACATCAAAATGATGGCAACAAGGAATGGCATGGCACATCTATTTCATACGTATTTTAATCAAGGGAAAAAAGACAGTGAGCAGCAGCCCACACCCTAAGATTTATGAAGGCTCAAGTCAGCCATATTCTGAGGCAAAGGGCCACTCTGGAACAGCTACAGGATATGAAAGACCTATTCAAAAACTAGTTTATCATCACTAAGAAGGAAGTGACACAGTGGGGACTTAACAGCCGGCATCCAATCCTCTGCATCACACACAACTGATCCTTGCCAGACCATTCAGACACACATCACTCTGCTTGTGAGCAAATGTGTAATTGAGTAGTATTGGCCTGCTCATAGATTTTGAACAATAAGGGCACCTTGCCCCTTTTTACACTATTTTTCACCAGTGCTAGATGAACCTGGGGACCTGTGAGACTCAGGGGAGGAAATTCATAGATGCAGGACAGACTTACTGGCTACCAGGAGCTGGACCCTGTGCTCATGGTCTGTCTTGTTCAGCACTTCTTTGCAAGTGTAGTTGCCTTCGTCCTGCACACGCAGTTCTGTGATGCGCAGAGAGCTGTTGTCAACCAGGGAGAAACGGACGTCTGGGGGGAAGGTCACCGTTGAGGAGAAGAGTGGAGGGAAATAGTGCGGATCCCCTTGAAACCAGACCACCTCTGTTGCTTCTTTGGAGACATTTCGGCATAAAAGGCGGACGCTTCCTCCAACCTGCCCAAAGACCACTTCCTCTGTTCCTGCAAAACAGAAGGGACAGCATTAGGGATCTGGGGAACTGGCAAAGCCCCCTTCCCTCAGCAAAGACCTGGACATCTGACATATATATCTCTCAACCCTCTGGGGTGCTTGTTAGGGGGGCTCTTGTCAAAGGATCTCCGAGATGCATTTGGCAGCTAACAACGTTTAGATCAGGAAGAGGGACACAGCTTAAAAGGCTCAACAGGAAAGCAAGGACAGGCTACTTGTGCCCGAGAGAGGGGGGCAACAAACAAGTGAACTGAAGGAGCCAGAGAAGAGTGGTGTTAGAGCACTAATGATGCCGGGTCACAGCAATGTCCATGCTCACCCAGCAGTTTGCTGGGCCACTTGCCCAAGTAGCCTCATGCCTGCACTGCTCAGGCGAGTGCACGGTACTGAAAAAGGAGACAAACCCCGCCCCAATATCGGTAGCCATTGGGGAAGACGACACAACTGTTGCTATCCCCCGTTTGCCTTTCCTACTTTCCCCTTCCTCTGCCAAATGGCACCTGGACCCTACAGCCAACTCGAGCGTCGGCACGAGTGCCCCCTTCTACCAGCCCCCTCAGCGTCTGCCCTGCTTGTTTTCAAAGGGGAATTCTGTTATTTTCAGCACAAAACCCATTACTCTTTAAAAAAAGAAATCGGCGCCAGGGCCTGCGGGGGAGCTCCCCTCAGGAGCAGGCGGACTGAGGCACTGCTCTAACGGTCGCCCACACACGGTCGC